GAGGGCCTCATCCTACAAACGTTTTCCTGTGAAAAATAATGTGCCTGGAAATCCCTCAAAGGGCAGAAAAGTTTGGAAATGGTCTCACCCAGCACGTTCCAGAACACAGCTTTGTTGTTGTGTTTCCCCACTGCCAGCCGTGTTATCATGACCGTTTATCCAGGAAAAAATAGTAGAAGTGGTTAAATGAGCTGGTGTTAAAGTGAGTGGTGATAAAGATAGAGCTTTGCTTTGAAAATCTTACGGGTGTGCGGGTGAGGGTTCACTGAAGTGCTTGTGTGTGGGGGAACAGCTTGGAGAGGCTGGGATTACGGGAGGAACCCTTTGCACAGGGCCTGCTTATGCAGGACAGGATGGTCGGACTCAGTAGGAATGGCAGAACAATGGGGTGTCTTTTGACTTTGTGACTCGGTGTAGCACTCACAGTCTCTCTAGGTGTGGATCACGGTGATCCTGATTCACAGGGGCTGCAGGGCGAGGAGGAGGAGGAGCTTTTGCAGAATTGTGATTCTAATTTAATTGAGAGTTAGATTAAGTTGGCATTATAGTTACTCTTTAAAGAAGGGACGCGAGAGCTGTTGCATTATCGTGCTGGCGTTGTTGTTCTCATTTGAGGTGTCTGAGCCTTCTCCTACCTCACAGCAATTCAAAGGTTGCGGTCGCAGCTCATTAGAATAAGGGAAAGACCTAAACTAAATATTAGAATATTTAGAATATTATTACAATAAGAATGCCTACGTGTGATAAAGGGATAGAAAAAGGATTAGACCGTTTCCCAATCTTTTTTTGTGTTCATATATATGTATTTATTTGTTTGTCTCCTATATTTGACTGCTGACAGGGCAGTGCAGATCTGACTGATTTACTGATGCTTTAGGGCACACGTTGCCCCTTACACCCTTCCACTGTGGGTGCAGCTGTGTTTTCGCATGCAATACGTACTTTTAAAAATTATTCCTAAATTACATTCACCCTTATTTACTGGTAAATTAATTTGAAACTAATTTGAAATACTTTTGACTGTTTATTAAAAATTTATTTCATTTTTCAAATGTAATTTTCATGCAGTTGCTCAGTAGTTTTAGACCAAAGAAGCTGCATGTATCATCCAGTGAAACACTTGACTGTGTTATAACAGAATGGGAATTAGCTCTGAAAGGGAAAGAAAAGACAGATTTGAGCTATAGAAATCTCAGCTAAACATAACTTGAAAGTGAAATAGCTCACAGACAACACACTTTGTGAAGTTTTATTGGCAATAAATAATATGTTGATGATAATGTTTTGAGTGGTGTGTTAAGTGTGTCATAATTCTCTTGCAGAAATCCCCAGTGAAAATGTACACTCGATATAGCACTGTTTTAATTTAAAAAAACAGATATAAATCATATGCAGGAGAGGAAGTATGTTATAAACAGTGCTGGGTTTGATTATAATTTTTTGAAATAGTGTTGGCTTAGCATTAGGTTTGAATTTTAAGTATTAATATTTGCACACACTGGGGAGGGAGCCCCTGTCGTGTGCTCTCTAATAAGATTGTTAATGCAAACTGGTTTTGTGGGGAAGAGGATTAGATGGGTACCTATTATTACAGCTCTAGCTCTTCATATTCCAGCACAAAATAAATGCATATTGTGCACCTGGGTCCAAATCATATTCACTTCTTAATCTCAGTAGCCAGTGGTACTTTATTTGAGTCAAGTCATCAGAACTTGACCCCTCTGTGGGAGTTTTTACTGCAAATCATAAACATTCAAATTGCCACGTTAGAGGTTACAAGTGACTTCTGTACGATGCTAATAGTAGCAAAGAGTCTTAGTGGACCTAAAGGCAGGGGGAAAAACAGGACATGGAGTCTAAAACCTCTCCCCAGTAGCACCACAGTAGTTCTGGGTCTGTCAGCATTTCCACTCCAACCCCCAAATTTCAGAGTTTATAACTCAGCTGTTTTAAATAGCTTCAAGCTGAAACCTGCTGTATAAATTGTCGGCCCAGATGTACGTTTTGAAACAAAAAGTAGCGCGAATCAGTTATTCTGTTTTAACTTACAGAACATTAAAATATTTTTAATAGTATCAGATGCTCTTTTGGCAATCTCTGGAAAAAGCATTCTCAATACAGAAGATTTTGCATTCAGAGGCAGTTTGACTTCAATGTTTCGCAAGAAAGTTGTTGAAGTGGCAGATACCAATGTTTGGGAGGAACTATTTAGCATGTACATTGGTGGAGGTTTTTTAAGCAAGCTTTTTACTCTGCAGAAAGTCTGAGTACCTGCTGCTGTGTACTAGTTTTGCTTTGTGCCTATAACTTCCGTCTGTAGGGTACATGCTTTGGCCAGTTCAAATCCCACTGGACCGAAACTGGGCAAACAGGTTGCCTAACCAGATGAGAATCGTGTTATGCAAAAAACACATAGTTATTTTCAACTTGTAAGAATTGGTTTGCTTTTATTTTGGGACTTCATTTGACTTTATGTACCATTTTGAGCTTTGTTTTAAAAAAAAAAAAAGCAAAGGCAAAATCTACCTTTAGTCCTAGAAATGTGTAGAGAGCTTATAATGGAAAATAAATGTGTTGAAATAGTAGAGACACTGAGACAAAGAATAGGTAAGGAATGCACTGTGGCTGCTTCTCATCACTTCTCATCCTTAATTTTTTACACAGTCTTTACTCATTTAACAGTGCATTTACAATCCTCTTTCTAAGAATATGTCATTAATTTTGTATTGATACATGGTATAAAATTGCCAAATAAAGATTTATGCCAACAGTCTTTCAGCAGGTACAGTTACTTTTTAAAATTCTCAAAATGACGTGTATTTCTCCAGGTTTCAAACTTGTTTCGCAAAGCTTTTTTTTCCTATCCAGATCTACTATGTACCTGTGCAGTACTCCTCTGGTATTTTGTGGCAAAAAAAGTATCAAATTATGAAAGGAACACGCATTTTACTCCTGTTGGCTGGCAGGGGAATCTTCCCATGTTACAGGATTTTAGTTTATTAGCCAAAGATTTTATTTTCACCTCTGATTTCAGTTTGTCTTGTCCTTCGGTCTCCTCTGAGTGAGATGAATAGTGATATTGCATCATGCTGCTTCCAAAGCCTCTCAGTACCGATGCAGCTCTCGATTAGGTGCGATTGCCCGGCGGTGGCAGCAGCACGTGCAGCTCTGGGCTGATGGCTGAGCTGACAAATTGAACTGACATCCAGTGGAAGGGGCAGGCAGGAAAGCTCTGAGAAGCAACAGGGGACAGAGGGGAGCTTTTTAAGAGGTTTTGCTCCCTCCTGTCCAGGTGTTATAGACTGTAACCGTGTTTGGGGCTGTGATGGAGCTGTGATGGCACTGCCTGTCTGTGCTCTGGGTACCTGGGGAGAAAGAGGTGACCTGAGGCTGCAGGCATCTTGCTCCCTCTCCCGAGGCTCCTGGCGGCCTTGTGCTTCCTCCTGAGCTCTCAGATTCTTTGCATTTCTGGAGTTAATGTGATTTTTTGTTGTTGTTTTGTGAGATATGAAAAGCGTAGGGTGCAACTCCCTGGGATGCTGATGGGCGAGACAAGACCGTCCAGAGATAACGTGGTGTGTCGCAGGCTGGGAAGGGAGTGGTTTATAAGTAGTCTCAAACCCCATGCTTTAAAGCCAGTATCCATTTATTAACTGTTAGAGTCAGCTCTATAATCTGTTCAGCAGATTATTATTTGTTATTTGATTATTATTTATTATTCCTTACACCTGGCTTTGAAGCTGTCAGATCTGGTTGCTGCCAGACCCAAGCCAGAGAGTTAGTGAGACCTCAGATCTTACCCACAGCAGTGGTTCCTCTGTTTTTATGTTGAGGGACATTCATATCACTGTAAAGTAAAATCTCTGTTTGATAGATGAAAACCTCACACTAGTTTGTGGCAAAACTCAGTTTTCAGTTTTGGGTGGTATTACCTGGTGTTTATGGAAAAAAAGACTTTCAGCTTTGCTTGCTTTTTTCGATTCAATATTTCTTTTAAATAAGACAAGCTGTACTTTTCAGTAATATGGTCTATTTAAAATATTTTCATATTTTTTATACCTTTGTAATTTGTTTTTATCGTTTGAGAGAAACGTTGTGTACTGGGCCACATGCTCTCCTTACATATCCAGAACTCCTAATTCTTTCCACTGAATTAATATCACCATGCAACCTGCAGTTATTAGTTTCAACCAGGATCATTTATAGGAAAGACATTTCAAGCAGGCCATATCACAAAATGTAATATATGTTTCCGGAGACAGAATGAATTACTCTTAATAATATAAGAAGTCATATCTGACCGTGTAAACTGGTAGAAACTGCAAGTGGAGACACTTTGTAGCTCAAGATGTTTTTCCAAGTTTGAGTTCGGCCATGCTATATTTCTGAATCTCTTTTTGTTATAAATTTATTTCCATAAACAGGGAAAAGGAAATTATTTTATTCATACTTTTGTGGACTTTTTTCCCCCATGTGTATATTTTCTCCCTAGTCAATTAACTCCTGTTTACCTTTATTTTTAATTTAAAAAGTCACAGTACACTGTAGGAATCCCTGGTGTTTTCAAATTAGAAGCTGTCTGCTCTGTGACATTTATCTACTCAGATATTGGAGAACTACTCAACCACTGAAGCATAAAAGTGAGACTATCAGGTAGCTGGAACGTAAGGAGAAGTGAAATACTTTGATATCTTCTGTTCAACCATCCTGGAATTTGAGGGAGGTATCAGCACTAACCACTTGCGAGCGCGATGAAAATTTACATGCCTGCAAGGAAATACAGCTTTGTTTTATATTGCATCTGAAGAGTTTGAATTCCAGCCACAAAGTGCTCCATCCCAGAGCGTGCTGGGCGTAGAGCTTTGTCTACTGATGCCCCGAGTGCCACTCCTGGGATGGGTGGATGTGGGGTTCTCTCTGGCTTGAAGTCTGAGGAGCTCGGGGGTTGGGGTGATGGGTGTAAACAACAGAGAAGTAGAACCGATTCTGGGTGATAAGGCTGCTAATAGTAATTTCCAGCTTTCCATTTCAAATGTTCCCATGTATAATTTATGGATACGAGCCGTGCCTCGTGTTCTCTCGCTGCTCGGTGGTTGCTAAGAACAAAGTTGGCCTTCAGGAAGCATTAAAGCAAACACTCTGTATAAGGACACTGAATGTTTCTGAAGAAATGCAACAAAGAAGAAACTCCCTGTTAGGCTCTGAGAAAGGGAGACAATACATGATGCTTCTGTGTTTGATGTGGCACTTTGTTCTGTGCGCAGCGAGTGCAAGACTCCTCACCGCAGCGGGCTGGAGAAGCTGCCACGGAGCCTCATAATGAGCGTGGCAGCCTGGAAAGCTGGAAGGGAGACACAGGCTTCCTAAGTGTGGCTTCACCAGTTGTGATTGTCTTCCCCTTTTTACAGGTGGTGGCCTTAGGAGAAGTGCCCGATGGGACAGTGGTCACTGTCATGGCTGGAAACGACGAGAATTACTCTGCAGAGCTGCGAAACGCGTCTGCCGTGATGAAGAACCAGGTGGCCAGATTTAATGACTTACGATTTGTGGGCAGAAGTGGAAGAGGTAGGCCACTGCCTTTTATGTGTCCATAATGAAGTGAAAAACAATGTCTGGACGTCAGGCTTACTCTGCAATGAAATACTGATTAATCCATAAATCCATTGTTCATAGAGTCATTGAAAAGTGTGGGTTGTAAGGGTGACCTTAAAGGTCATCTAGTTCCAACCCTCTGCCATGGGCAGGGACACCTTCCACTAGATCAGGTTGTTCAGGTCGTCAGCCTTTCATTTGGAGGGGCAAACACGTGTTTTGGTGGCAAACTTCAGCATTTTCACAAAGTAAGTTAAGAGTTTTCTTCAGTTTTTCTGACTACTCATGTCTCTGTGGTCTTTTATCAGACACAGGTTTTGAAAAATGATTCACAGAGTACCCGCTTTCCTGTTTTAATCACACAGGAAGGGTGGAAGGAGAAGGGCATATGTGTGATCTGGGTTATGTGGAGTCAAAAAGTGTATCTCAGTCCGTGGCAGTGAGAGGTGGAGAATTCCCTTTAGCAGTAAAGCTGCTTCTGAAGTTGTTGTAGAAGACTTGTAATTAGGGGGATTTTGCATATCACATGTGCTATAGGTTGTATTCTTTAAGGACTTAGGTCTTTCAAGGCTTAACAGCTATTGGTGGAAAATTTACTAGTGACTTCTCTGCCCTTTATGATCAAACTGCTGATAACCTGTGAAAATCACCCCTGTGAAAATCTTTTTAGTAAGCTGGTTGGGTTTTTATGAATTGCTGGTAAGTTTGGGCTTGAACTCAATGTTAACTTTAGTTTATATGACATGGTAACTTCCAATTTTATTTTTTTCCTGAAGTTGTAGAGTGCTGTCATTGTCTTCCAGCTGTTTAGGAGCTTCCTATAATCTGGAAAGGGCACTGTACTTACAGAAAGCCTTTGTAATCATTGCAAGTTTGCAAGAATTCCTCTTTAAGGGTCTCATGGCTGCTTTCAAACTTCAGGTAGTGATTGAAAGGATATCTTGAAGGAAGCTGGCACTGCAGTTCTTACTGCATGAATCTTCAGAATGTTTGGTTGTATCAGTCATTGTTTCAACCTACAATTTTTTTTTCCTTTATGTATTTGAAGTAATTATTCATTTTTCTAAACTAGCCCTGCATGGGGCAAACCAAAGCAACAGAAGCAGAACAATTATGCTAGGAAATTAGCAATAAAGCTAATTTTACAGTAATATTCCTTAGAAAGCAGTTGCAATTCATCTTATAGAAGGAACGAATTTTTTTCCAAAAAGAAATTAAACATGTGACAGAGGCCCAGATAGTCTAAATCTGTCAGCACATTTTTACAAGCATTTTGTGAGAGTGAGTCCATAAGCATGGCTTACAGTGACTATTCTTTATTTTAGTGGCCTGGCCCAAAATTCTCTTTATCATTTTAAAACTTGCAAAGTATTGGTAATAAAGAATAACTTGAAAGACAGAATAACTTTTGCAACAGTAATGGAGTATAAATACAGAGTTTATTCCCCTTGTGAACAAGGAGTTATCTATCTCTTCCATTTGTCTTCCTTTCTTTTAGAAAAACAGTTTACTTTGTTATTCTGCTGATGGACTAGGTTTGAAAGTTCTCTGGCTCCATCTCTACTGCTGCCTTACAGCAGAAGTTCAGTGGTGTATCAGTTTTTCAGTAGTGCTGAAAAAGGACAGAAATGTGATGTACTACCTCTGATCTGTGAATTTAATTTCAAACCCACGATATATACTTTTTATTAAAGCATAGGAAATTAAATAAAGACCTAAAGCCTCCATAGATACAGCTACAGACACAAACACAAACCTCCTAAAATTTGGTTCCAGTAGTTTAATTTATATTTTTATCTAGCAGACTTGGAATAGACTTTCTCTCTGATCAATCTGGGTAGAATCTATGGAAAAGTGATAGTGTACTTTTCAAACCCTCAACATATTTATTTAAGAGACTTCAAAGAAAAACAAAGGGTGTGCACTGTTTTACTATATTGGCTTTCTGAGTTTTGGCCAGTTTCCCAAATAGCAATTTTTATATTTAAAAAAAAAAAAAAAAAAAAAAAATTAAAAAAAAAAAAAAGGAAGAAAAAAGACAGACTTAACTGCTTGCAGACTTTTCACGCATGGAAGATGAAGAAAGCTTCTTTTGATGAAGTGTAATTATGTCCAAACAGAGCTGACCCCCTCCCCCTATATTTCTTATGATCTTAACGGAAGAAAGTAGGGCTTTTCCTTTGAAGCAGCCGGGACTCGGTGGAGGATCTGAAATGCTGCATTCTGCTGCCAGAGGCAGGATGGAGAAATTGGTCCAGACTTGTCTTCCAGACTTAGAACGCAGAGGGGGAGAAGGAGAGAGAGAGAGAGAGAGAAGGAGAGAAGGAGAAAGAGTTATCATTAATGATAGATTTTTAGAACTCTGCTTAAAATACCAGGAAAAGAAAGCAGTGGTTGCAAACAGAAGTGAGAAAGCTCCTTACATAGACAAATATCGGTAAACACAAGTCTTGAAGCAGAACAGGAAAAAATAAAGTAATAAAGAAATCCTTTTCTGGTGGCAAGAAACTAATCCACACCTGTTCCTGACTTCAGATTTACATCTTTCTAAGCAACTCGTGCTTTGATCTCTGTATCTCTAAATTTGATTGTGAAGTCTGAATCATCAACTTACCACTTCACCTCCCCTCCCACGTTTTTACTTGCTTCCCATGGCTCAATGGAGAAACTCGATTTTTATACATATTTATGTTGCTTGCCTGACAGAAGCTTCACGTTTCTGTTTGTATAATTTCTCCTAAACGCCATTTTTGGATTCATAAGAATAAGTAAACCAGAGTGTTTGATGCAAATGCAGCAGTTGTTGTATGTGGTTTTCAGGCAGTAGCTCACTTTTACAAGCCTGATCCACAGCGCATAGAAGAAAGAATTCCTGTCTTCAATAAGCAAAGGATCATAACCTTAATTTTGTTGTGTCCCGATACTTTAATCACATTAGCATCTAACTGAAAAAATATGCAACACGCACACACAGGCTGCTGAGTCTCCTTTCAAGATCATTTCTGGGGTTTGCCTTGTGCTTCAGCATATGTCCATCTCGTCCTCCTCTGTGTCAGCTCAGCTCACATGTGTGAATAACAAAGAATGCACAGTTTAGACACACTGAAGCAATAGTGCCAGATGACTGCTTGGCTGGGGAATTTAATAAAAGAGAACTACAATTAGTCTTCAGCCTCTGAAAGTGGATAGTTGAAGTGACTAAGGGCAATAAAGAAAGGTGATAAAAAGTGCATTAAAGGATTTTGTAGCTGAGGAGGGATATCTGTGAAATAGCTGTGGAAGGCATCAGCATCACTGAAACAGTGAAGAACAGTAAAAATTTATTTCATTCTTAGTCCTGTAATATGTAAATCATCTCTTGAAAGCTCTGGAGTGTGCTGGCAGGGCTGTGCAGCTCCCCACAATGAAGTGCTCTGTGGTTTATGGAGTGTGAGGGGGCTTCGTCGGTGTTACTACATCCATGCTTTGGTTTGGTAAAATACTAGTTAGGGAACAAAACCAGATTCTCTTTCAAATTAGCTGCTCACCTCTTCAGCTTAGGCTGGCTAAGAGGTGACAGTTCAGAAATTCTCACTGTTGAGGTCCAAACTCCTCAAATTAAGAAACTCATTTTTAATGGCCACTGTAACCTGTTGAGTTATATTTAGTATAGAAAACCTTGCAGTGCTTTTCTACAGAATGATTTTACAGCATCTTACAAATAGTATATTTTGTTGAGTTAATTCTTTCTGTCATGATAGACTTTTGTATGGATTTGGCATATAAAGGGAATGGTAGCATGGAAGGCCAAATTCTTCATTCAAAGGTATATGGAAATGCCTCTTTAGTATCTTTGTTACCAATAATATTCTACTGATTTTCCAGAGGTAGCTGTAATCTGAATGTCATCAGCATAAAATTTAATGGTCAGAACTTTTTGACATGATAAGCTAGTGTCAAAGGAAGCCTTAAACCTGTACCTAGAGAATTATATATGTCCAAGCAGTAGGCTGAATTCATCCTTGGAGAGGGATAAAAGGCACAGACTCTCCTCAGCCCTAAACAAGCAGGCATGGAGGAACTGTGTGCTTGAGCAGGGCTGTTGCTGCCCACACATCCACCATAGGAGGGTAGGACACACAGTCACCTCTGGGACAGCAGGTGGGCGAGACTGGACAAAGACTGGACATCCTACACACACCTAACTCTCCTCCTGTGATGATCTGAGAAATAATCCCTTTCCCAGTGAAACTGGGGAAAACCACCTTCAGCTCTGGCCACTGGACAAAGTTCAGACTCCTGAGATTTTTGCACATTTCAACTGAAAAAGAGCAGGGTTAGATTAGATATGAGAAAGAAATTCTTCCCTGTGAGTGTGGCAAGAACACAGGAACAGGTTGCCCAGAGAAGCTGTGGCTGCCCCATTCCTGGAAGTGTTCAGGACCAGGCTGGATGGGGCTTGGAGCAACGTGGTCTAGTGGAAGGTGTCCCTGTCCATGGCAGGGGGGTTGCAACTAAATGATCTTTAAGATGCCTTCCAACCCAAACCATTCCAAAATACTGTTATTTTCTGGGGTCCTGACCATCCCTCTAACCTGCATCTCCCAGAGAGTTGGGCACAGCTGGAGCACAGCTTCACCTGGAAAATCATTTTACTCTAAATGACAGTTATGTTTCCTTTAAAAAAAATTCCATGTCACATTCTAGTTCCCGAAAATTATAGCCAAGACAGTTTGAAGTTGCACTCCTGATAATAAATGATGCATGTCCCAGGCAGGTTTGGGGGATATACGACTTGGACCAGAAAGAAAGACCAATTACTAGATTTGACAGCCAAAGCTCTGTTCTGTATTATGCCTTATATATAAGCTGTTCTGTATTAGGCTTGAAAAAACTGCATTAAGTTTGCACTGTTACATATCGTTTAAGATCTGTGCCTTGATTGAATGCCTTCAGAGTTCAGCAAGAGGAAAAGCCTTAGCAACAAAAATGCACAAATACACCCAGGGAAGGGGAGGGGGGGGTGGGAGGGGAAAGAGTTTTAAGTGTCTGGTAAAGTAGCAGCTTAAATGAGCATGAAGGCCAAAGATTGCTGACTGTTTTATTGAGTCACTGTTGTACGCCCACCTTTTCCTGTCTTGAAACAGTTTTCAGTTTTGACTATCTGACATGACTAACCGTTGCATATCTAACAGATTACAACTGTCAGTGAGTCTCCCAAACAGGGGCCAGCGCCTGTGAGAATGTGTGCTCAGACGCAGGCAGCTCCCTTTATTTATTTCTTTTTAACGTTTTCATTCAGTTAAGAGTCTGTGGATGATCTTGTGCAATCCCTGCCTGAATTCGAGCTTTGTAAAGTTAAAAAAAACCCGAAAACCAACAATGCAGACTGACGATAGTAACGTACGTGCACACAGACATTTCTCACCCTCACGGGAAAGCTGGGGGCTTTCTTAGGATTTCATGGATGGAATATATATAGGGAAAAAAAGGTGTGTTCCAGTAATAATGATATCATCATATTAGCCCTGGCATATGAAGGACAGGAGACACTGATTCGCTGTTAAAATATCTCCCAGGAGGAAAATATATTCTTTCCTCATCTTATTGTAGTCAAGTCAAACAAATGAAATGATAAAACTGTGTGAAGTAAATAACATGTGGTCACATTCTGCTCTCTGTCACACAGCTGCGAAACTGGAGTAAATTTTTAAATTATCTGACTTGCTTTGGATTTACACCACTTTCAATACAGCAAAGAATTTGGCTTGTCCTCAGCAGTGAATCACTTTTGTTCTGTCATTGTATGATGACCCATTATTAAATAAGAAACATTTAGATTGTCAACACATGGACGTATTCTTGACATAGAGTAAAACTGAAGGGGAGGAAAACTCCTATGGTCAGTTATGTTTTTAATTTTCACGATTGTGGTAACGACAGGGAATAATTTTAAGCGTCTCTGATTCTTTACTGAACATGCATGTGACTGTTTTCATGTTGTAATCACTCATTCCTTGTTGTTTTTTTCCCTTTGTAGGGAAGAGCTTTACTTTGACAATAACTGTCCTGACAAATCCCCCCCAAGTCGCTACATACCACAGAGCTATAAAGGTTACAGTGGATGGGCCAAGAGAGCCTAGAAGTGAGTATTATATTCTTGTTTTCTCTCTTATGTCTGCTTAATTTTGCTTAACAGAGACCCATAAATGAAATACGTATATCTTTGTCAGACTTTGGTTCTTGCTCAGCAAAATATGCGAGTGCATGCTTAATTTGGAGTCTATTGGACCACACACATACTTGCATTAAACACACACTTAAGTGCTTGGCTGAATTTGGGCAATCCCAAACCTGATTCTCATTCACATCAAGGTCTTGATACATTATCTGCCAGTGCAAATGAGAACTAAACCCACTGTATTTGTATGTAATCTGATTTAGGCATAATAGATACAATCCTGCAACGTGCTGGATTCCCTGAACTCCTGTAAGCTTCCAAGTGAAAACATTTAGAACAAAACAGGAGCCTGATCTTTCAGGATCAATCCTAGTGCAGAGAGAAAATATATAATATAGTGCCTTTTTGTTTGCCCTTAAATTCTTTTACCATCAGATAATTAATGCACCTGGTTAATCTCATCATACCTGAAATTGGTTTTCAGCTATGGACTCATCGTAGACCCTGAGGGGCCAAAGAAAGATAAAAAAAAAGGCAGTGCATCAGCATGGTCTTTGTTTCTTATTTGTACACAGAAAGTTTATTTTATTTAAACATGGTCCAACAGATTTTCACTTAGCAGATTTATCTCATAGCCTTGCAAACTTACTAAGAACATATTTGCAATGATTTGTCTATTTTGCAATGGCTGTATTTTTATGACAATTGTGTTTTGTCATGTTTGAGCAGTTTTATGGGTAGCACTTATTTTTAGATGCAGTCAAGCCTGGTTAATCCATCAGGATTTATCTGGCTGTCTCTCTGTCTAGCACATTTAGCTGGTAACTGATCCCACATCTTATGGGTATCACTGATGAGCCAGTTCTGGAGTTTTTTCTTAATCTGACTAGAATGACTCTTTCTAAATTGATTGGATTAATCAGGTATAGCGTTATTTAAATTACACTTAGAGATTAAGAATTATTTGATGAATAACCACATTAAAAGCATCCCTATAATGGAAGCATCTCAAATAATTATTTTACCTTTGATCTGCACATACAAACGAGACCTTCAAGGAGCTTTCATGGTGTTTTGTTTAAAATACCACAAAGACAGAAGTAGAAAGACGTAGACAGAATTCATGCAGTTAAGTGTTTCTCGTGCTAATACACACTGCAGCGTCACCTCCTCTTTCATAGAGACAGGACTGAAATGCCTCCTGTAAGAACTGCCCAGGCTGTAGAGTTTCGTCTTGAATAACAGCTAAGAAAAAGCAAGTAGCTATGAAAAAATGTCATTACGTAGATCCTTGTGTTGCTACCTGCTCACAGCTGAGGTGTCCGGATGTCACAGAAGGGGGATTTTCGTTCTGTCTTCTCTCCGAGCTGAATCAGTTCCCATTTTCAGTTTTCACTTGCAGTTGTTGCTCTGTGTAGCTTCCTTGGGGGACACTGGAGAAGCTGCATTCATGGAGTGAAAAGCGGGGAATAAGTTATTTAGCAGTTCTCATTTGGAGGCTGCTTCCATGTAGGAGGCACTACAAAAGAGGTGGTCTCCCAGCAGAGGACAAAACCACTATGAAAGAGCAGAGAGGTTTGAAAGTGGTGTGGAGAGTAGCGTGGATTAACCTGTGTAGCACAGGAAGGGAACCTGCTGGCATGGGGACTGAGTGTTCTGGTGATCAGTGGATTGAAAGAGAGGCTGTGTCCAAAGAACTTACTAAGACAAGAGCTCCAAGTTCTACTATAGTTTTTTAGTTTACACCTGAAAGGCCTCTGTACATGATACCTGTTGCTGTTCCCATTGAATAGCTGAACCTAGCAATGCTCAGTAACTGAGTTAGTGCCTTTCTTATATTTTTTCTTTTTTTTTTTTTTAATTTGTAAGAAAGTAAATTTTGAGCTTGAGTGTCCATTTGAATCTTAATGTTTCAGCAAAATACTTAGTGGAGCTCTACTCTAGAGTCAGTTGGATTCTGCAGCTTCTGTCACTGCAGTCTGATACTTTCAAGGCTATGACAACTCCAGAATGATTCGTTATCAAACTTGAATTTGTAGGTAAAGAGTAGCTCCAGCGAGCTGTGGGAGTTTGACCAAAGTTCTACTTCCTTCTTAGAGCCCCTGCATTTCTGTAGATTTATTACTGTTTGGTAATAACCATTTGAGGAGCGTATCTGGCATTTATGTTGCTTAAGGAAAATTAGGTGGTTGGGGGCAATAAGGAATTCAAGGAGTGGCTCTGATAGCAAAAATGTTTGTCTTAACAAACTATGTATCGGTAAATAGTGCCCCTCTCTGCCAGGATCTGTATTTCACTTCAACATCTCAAGCATGTTATCCTAGTTTTCCTCTCTCTGGCAGCTCCACCAGAGCTGTCACATCACAAACAACTTTTTTCTTAATATACACATCTGGCGTTGGCAGTTGGAGCAACTTCATAAGAGCACATGATCATCATTCATTACAAGATTAAAAAGTACCCCATGGCATCATTGATGTTTTTTAACTTTGATCTTTTGCAGTTGTGATTCATCTCAGTTATAAAACTTCCCTTTAAAGGAACACAACCGATGACTTATTAGAACCTTCATTCTAAGGAGCGTAAACATAAAATTATGCACATCTTTACAAAATGTCATTTACTCTGTTGCCAGCTTATCATTTTAAGACATGACATCATGCTTTAGATCGTGAATTTGTAAGGCTTGTTTATAGGCAAGGCACCCTGACCTTCTCTTGGCAAGTTGACTTGAGTGAACGAATGCTGCGAGATTCCCAGCAGCAGTAGGAGTAGCAGCAATGCCATGACAGATATCACAGTCATTTAGAGCCTCACTTCAAGAGTGCTGAACAGTCGTGGCATGCAGGGACTCCGGTTGGTGTTTTGGATGCTCAGCACTTCAGAAAGTTGGGTTCTTAAATGTAAGTGCCATTTAGTCGTATTAAACATCTGCTTGTAGAAGCTTGCTGCCTTGCCTCTCTGTTATTATTTTAAAATATTTTAATAGAGACAGTGATGCCAGGTTGCTCTGTTAGGAAAACTTGCCCATTTCTATATGAGAAAAGGTCTTCTGATGATTTTTTTTCTTAGAAAACATTTATTTAATTTTACTTAAATCTCTTCCAGTCTATCTAGATTACTATCCAGGGACATCTACTGTGTTGCACAGTCTCTGTGCTGGACTGAGGCAGAGCATTGCGCTCTGAGTGACGGAGTCTAGAGACAGGGTTGTATAAGATCTTTGGGAATCATTAGGAAATCCTGCAGATATTTTTCTCTCCTCATATCCAGGATAAAACCTCTGCCATATGCACATCTTAGCCAGCAGAGCTGCCTTCCAGCTGGGAGGGCTGAAAGAAGTTTTCCGGAGAAGTTGTCATGAGGTCATAACTGACGGACAGATAGCCAGAGATTACTGTAAAGGAAGTAAAGGAAGAAAAAACCCAGAACGAAAAACCACCTAAAATCTTTACCTAAGACACCCTTTAATGCCTTTGTCTTACCTCATTACGACCACAGAAATAATGATTTGCCCTTCCATAACGAATAGGAGACACATCCTCCTTTCTGGCTGTTTTTGGGGCAAACCCAGCCAGGAGGGAAATCATGAGGAAGGAGGGAGGAGAAGTCTATATTTTTATATTTGGCCTGACTTCCAAAGGCTTTAGTTCATCTCTGATTAAAGGTAGGCTCTAAAATCACCGACCCCAATTGTCTTTATCAGTGTGAATGGAAAAGTGCTTCTGAGCTTTGAGCTGAAGCATTTCAGGGGAGAAAACTGCTCTGTTTCATTCAGCTCTCGAATATTTCTCTGCTGCCGCAGCTTGCAAGGTGCACACGTGATAAAAGGTATGAGCAAACACCACATCGCCTTTTTGTCTGTGCACGCTGCGGAAGGCAGCAAAAGCCAGCCAGGGGTTCTGCTCAGCCTCTGCATTAACTGTTTGCCTGACCCGGCTTATAAAACGCAGATAAGTGATTGAGATTTTTGAGATTCCTCGACTTAAAACCATAACAGTTTTTAGGAAGTTCTCCCTCTTTTCTTTCAAAGGCAGAGTGGGTGGAGGGATAAGTCTGGGGCGAGTGGAATGTGCTTTGGAGTAGAACAGCTTTAAATCTTTCAGTTTGCCTTCTTTTTTTTTTTTAATTTTTGTCTCTTTTTTTTTCTTCTTTTTTTTTTCTCCTTTTTTTTTTTCCTTTTCTTTGCTTTTTTCTCTCTTTTTTTTTTCTTTTTTTTTTTTTGTTGACTGCCTGTCAGGAGCTGGGCTGGTGGCCAAGCAGGAAATGACACATCGAGAGGCATTTGTGTTGTGCAACATTTTGTGGAACTGATGCAAGGATACATTGTCTGTTTACGCATTCCTCTGCTAACAGCCTGCATGGCAGTAATTTTATTCAGGGACACATGGCATGCTACAGCAAGGAGCTCGAGCCTTAACATCTCTTTATGCAGAATTATCACAGCAGTTAAAACAGGCTGTGTTGTCCCCCGTTTTGAATATTCTCTGGCTTGCCTTCAAAAACCACTGTACCAGCCCCCCCTTCCTTCCCAAGAATATATTGGTTTGACTGTGGGTTTTTTGCACTGTGGTAATTTGGGGCAGTGCAGAGAGAGTTTGCAGAACAAGAGGAAATTTTAGAGGCAGGTCCCTACTTCACGCATCTACCTCAAACTGTAAACGGAGCCGTGCCGTTTTTTTGGGCAATGCGCTGCAGACGCTGAGGGCGTCAGTTTGCATCTGCATGTGGTTTGGCACGAGGAGGTTTTTAATTAAAGTCAACGCTAAATACCCTGAGATAGGATGAACGAGTCCTGGGGTTTCATCCAAACCGAAGTTAGAAAATCTGTGGCTTGCGCTGGTGTCTTTCAGAGTGACAGATCTCTGCTGAGACCGGCTGGGTTAGCCTGGATTTATCCCGGCGGCTGTGGGAGCAGGGGAAGGCAGAGTGGGAGGTTTGGGGGTTTGCAAGTTGCTCTAAAT